TTCCCTATTTACATTCTGCAAAGATCCCTGCCTGGTTATTGACCTCACTACCACGACATGATACAGTCTACAAATGAACGGTATAGCACATACAATTTTAATACAGTGTGTTTTCCACCACAATGCAATGTATAAAGCTGAAAGCATTGAACTACAGTAACAAATATGTTTATATTTTACTTGGAAAATGATGGAAAAAAGAGATTCTGCTATCTTTTTTATTATAGTTTTCTTTTTATCCATATTCACAACTATCTAACAAAAGATATCAATAATAATCCTTGCATAGTTCCTTTTCACTAAGCCAAAGGAATTTTATTTTTCTATTAATAAGGAACAATTAATTTACTGAATCCTTTTCATGTGCCTAGCACTATTCCAGGTACTCTGGTGAGTATGGGAGGCAATTATAAATTTAATCAAGTGAATGATTCCCAAATAGCTCCGGACAAAGGTCTGCCATAAATCTCAGGTGACCCCAAAATATTTTGTCCCTCACCCTTGCTCTGGGTTCTAGATAAGCAAGTGCTATGACCTGGCTGAAACACACACAAGAGCAGCTCAGTTGAGTGTGTCCAAGGATGTGGATCATAATCCTGAAAGACATCATCCCAAAACCCATATTTCCAAATGTTGAAATCCATAATATCTAAAAATCCCCAAATCACAAATAGGAATCATAGAAGAATTTCAAAAAGCAGCGTCACAGAGAAAATGAATATGAACGTACTCCCCGAGGACAGTCCCATCCTAAAAGAAAAAAAGCAGCTTCTTCATTGTGATGCAAGTCTTCAACATGTTAATGATCAAGAAATCGAGCCAGCTCCTAAGAACTACCTCCATGTAATTGCCCCTAATCCCTGTAATACGCTTTTGCATACGTCAAATTTTCTTTTTAGTTTTTATAGTTTTTCTTTTGTTAGTTTTTCGGTCACTTTTTTAGATTGTCAGCATTATTTTTTACAATTTGCTATGTATTTTATCTTCACATCATTTCCAATACTGGAAATATAAATTGTGTAGAGGCTTTCAGAGAGATTTGTTTACTTTTTCTTTTTTAAATTTGACTCCACAAAAGTGCATTACCACAACACTGAATTTGTTGTATAAGCATTGTGTGTATATATAAAAACATTAAAACTTCCTCAATTAATGAAGAGATGTCCTTTTTGTACATCTGCATTTGTGAAAGATTTTTTGAGGTCTCCGCTCTTTGGGTGACTGCAAACACAATGGTGACTCTTTGCAGTTTTTGTGCGATCTTGTCACAAGACAAATTTTCTAATTATTTTTTCCAGAACTATATTTTCAGAATTTTGATTTTCGGGGATTCCAACATTTGGGATTATGGTGTTTGGGATTGTGTCTTTCAGGATTCTGATAGGCTCCCTGTCAAAGAACAGATCTAAGAAGGGAATGTAGGAGAAGAGGCTAACATGAAAAACTGAAACCCCAAGACCCTGAAAGACATTCTAAGAATTTAGACTTTGCCTTCTACTAAAGGAGAGATGTAAAAGGCTTTCAGTTTAGAGACAGAACTCTGGGAAGCCAGGAAAATCAGTTTGGGAGCCACTGAAATTATTATGCAAGAGGGGAAAAGAGGCTCCACTGGGACACTGGCAATAGAGAGGAAGGAATGTCAATATTTGGAGGAGGAATCAATAGGATTTGGTGACTGACAAGATTTCAGGGGAAAAAAGGAGAGACAGCTACAATCTTGAAATTTTTGGCATGCGTATTATAGATGCCACATAGGTGGAAAAAGAAAAGTTCTAGTTTAAGTCTGTGAGATGAGTGGATGGTGTTGGGGGCGGGGGAAGAGAGAGAGAAAAGAATCGAGTTAGTGAGTTCTGTATTGTGTAGGACACAATGAAATTAATACCCCTATAACACATTCAGATAAAGAAAGTATCATATACCCCCAAAAAATTTTTTATAAACTCTACAAATACTAGCTTATCACATACTATATACGAGGTGTTGCTTAAGGAACCAGGGACATAGTGTGAACAAAAGTCAGTCCTTGTTGCCCAACACTCAGCTCTGAGACAGCTTTACAACATTCCACAAACCATCTCACTTCCAAAATAACAGAAGATCTTGGTGTGAAGGAGTACACCTACATTTGATGACTGAGAGTGAGCACCATTGAACTTTCTTCCAGCGACTGCAGACTAGCCAGTGATTAACTCTTTTCACCAACTCTGCTAAGTGGTCAGGGTCAGACTTCATAATCTGATCAAATTCTGCAAACTAGGAAGTAAAATAACTTAGTATCAGTATTAAAAGAGAAATGTGTTTAAACATACAGAAAGACACAAAGTAAACAGAATTCAGGTCCAAAATCCAATTTTTCTGAAAATGGTCGCATGCCAATTACACAGACATGTCTTAGCAGAGTATATAGCAAACCCAAACATGCTTGGCCACATTTTGTTTCCCCTTTCTTCCTTCCTTCAGGAGCTTTTTTTGGAGGTAAGGGAGGCTACTCATTGCTAGGTAGCAGATTCAATAATAAAAGTAGAAAAAAAATCTTAAATGACTTAATTATAGACGGTTGGCAAGGCTTTATTGAGAAAAGAATGAAAAAGGACTAATATATCTCTGAATTGGCCCACCCACATTTTCAGATACCCTTATGTAACTCTTGGTAAGTGAAGGTCAGCTATATAATATCAGGTACCATACCAAAACTATTCTGTCTCTCCCAATCATCATCCTCATTTTGGACAGAGATTAAGAAATTGCTGCTAAAAGCCAGACAACACGAATAAAACAGCTATTAGGTTCTTAATAAATAAAATGCATTATTTCCACTATTTACACCAAATTCCATAATTATTTCTACCCTTTACCAAATCTCCCACTACAACATTAAGGATGTCACACACCAATCAACAGCTTCTTACAGTCAAAATTAAATTAAAGGTAACACAATGATATTAAAGATCTTTGAAGCTTTGCCTTAAGCTTTCAACAAATCCTTCTAATTTTTCTGGAAGTAAAAAAGGCCAAGTGCTTTCTCTATCAGGCTATTCTTAAATACTTAGAATAGTTCTGAAATAAGAGAAATGTTGAGTTTATGATAAATATGTATGTTTAAAGCTAAGCCAACTATGAACATTTATATATTCTTTTTCTCTTAATATTTCTTCTTGTTTAGGAAATGGTATGGGTTCTCTGCAATAAAAATATTCATAGGGAAGTACATACATTGGTAATGCACACATACTTTTCATCTCCTGTCTAAAAATGAAAAATCACATTTATTTACAATGATTAATTTATCTTTCAAGACACTAGAGGTAGGTATTAAATGATTCTGCTAAATCAAGCAAGTATGGTTGGTTATTTTTTTTTTTTTTTTTAGACAGAGTCTCACTCTGTTGCCCAGGCTGGAGTGCCGTGGCATCAGCCTAGCTCACAGCAACCTCAAACTCCTGGGCTCAAGTGATCCTTCTGCCTCAGCCTCCTGAGTAGCTGGGACTACAGGCATGCACCACCATGCCTGGCTAATGGTTGGCTATTTAAATGTAGTAATAATCATATTAAAAATTATGAGGATGCAATTATCCATCCAATCAATATTAAATAAGTTAGGAATGGTGAAAATAGTATTACTAACAGATTGTGAACAGCATTTAGATATTTCTGTACTGAATATATTTGTTATGAAGTATTCTGTAACTCAGTCTCATAATTTAGTATGAGAACTTGTGAATACTAAAACTACAGGACTATGTATTCACCTAAAAAAATCATGTTACATTCAAAAGTATTTATACATTCATTCATTCTAGAGCTTGAGAGAGGTCAGCACAAACTCCAATCCCACTTCCTTTTCCTTATTCATCTACCATACTTTAGAGGAGCTTCTTCTCACAATGAAAACTCAAAAGTACTGTGAAAATCTCAAATCACTGAAGAATGAATTAATATGTTTTAGAAAAGTTTCTGATGTTTAAAATGCAAGTATTTTCTTCCAGTACTTACTTAAGTATTTAACCCTTAGTTAAGTGAAAAAAAAAGAAAAGTCAAGTAAACAGTGCTCCAATTCCAATACTTCAAAAGCTGAATAAAACTGTAAAACTCATACAGACCATTACACATTGTAAACTTCTCACAAGCAGGGAAATTCTGTATGTGTACGTGTCCACACATATACACATATATATTTCATGCTGTCAGTGACCATACAATTCAAAAACAACACAAATCATTAAATACTTAAAAATATTCACTAACCCCAACTATCCATATTCATGATGTTAAAGTTTAAAATAAAAATATATATTTACCTTGCCAGGTCTAAAAAACACTTTTGTTAACCCAAATTTGTAGTCAATTTCATTTAAGCCCAAAGCTTTAAAAAGAGCCTGAAAAATAAAAGTTAAAAAGTTAAATGCCAACTAGTAATTAGTAGGAAAGACAAGTTTATAGCTAAGACATTTCAATTTGAGTGGCATTTGTACCTTACAAAATAGTCTTGGATCCAGTCTTGCAAGTTTATCTGGCATATACTTTTTATACATGTTATAGAGTTCATGAAATGAAGCTCGGGATGGAAAACCACCTTGCATCAAGTCCAAAACAGACACCATGCCTAGATTCATAAACACACATAAATCACTACCAATCACCATATGGAAGTCCACAATAACATCTGAATGAGAAATTTTATAAATTAATTGTTTAGAAATGGGTAATTTACAGGAATTATCAGCAATGAAATATTACATAAGAAATATCATCTTTATACTCAATACGTCCCAAATTACCCATGACCTAAAACTACTGCAGTTGAATTTCATCTAACACCAGTAAGACTAACCATTTCCTATAGACAAACTACTAGTCTACAGAAAGCTCAAATTGAGTTCGCATCTTTTTTCTGCTAAAAGTCTCTGTGTCATAAACACAGTATATAAGGCAAAGCCCTGCATTAGACCACTTTCCAAGTCCCTGAGGTTAATTTTAGAATAAGATTTCTAATACAGTCTATAAAAAGTAGTCAAACACATTCCCAAGTTCTCACCAGAGCTTAAACAAAACAAATGGAAAAGAAAGAAGAGCTCATTATTTCACCATAAAGACCCCCTTTCACTCACTTCTCAAAGAAACTCGTCTATTGCGATAATGAGTCTATAGGATGAATATCTATTTTCAGTATAACTCTAGAAAGTGTTTAATTTGAGCCTTGAGTCAAGGTGAGCTTTTCAGATCAGAGAAAGTATAAAACAGGCAGGGAAAGGCTCAATAGCTATAAGTAATGCCGGAAATTTTGTTTATAATAAGATCTGAATTTCAGTCTCTGGGACTATTCAAATCAATGGAGAAAAGATTATGCAATAAAAAGTGTTATGACAAATGGCCAGCCATTTGGAAAACAAAAATAACAGTAGATCGGGAGGAGCCAAGATGGCGGATGAGAGAAGCTGCCAGTCAGAAGGTCTCTGCAAAAAAGACGAATTTTAGAAGAAAGAGAGAAAAAATAAGCGAGCAGAGAAACATAGATGGGGTGAGGGTCGGAAGGAAGGGTGCCTGAAACTACAGGAGACTCCACGGGAAGACATTGCGGAGGAGAACCGGAAGGAGAGAGGTCCCGAGAGGCTTGGAGACCAGCGACAAGGGTAGGTGGAGCGGTTAACTTCCCCTCCCTTGCATCTCGGACTGCGGGTGGCTCCTGAGCGGCTGGAGAGACCTGCTGACACCAGCCCAGAGACGGCTGCCGCCAGTGAGCAGTGGTCTCTTGCGGACTCAGC